CTCCGTCACAGTTGCACATGCTCATCGTACCTGCTCACCCTCACCCAGGAGCACTGAGGCGTACAGATGTCCTTGGTGGGAACTGCCACGTGTCACTGTGCAAGACTGGGATTGAGCTTAGTGGCCACCGTAGTGTAGGCTGCGTGGACCAGCATGCAGCTGTGGAAAAAGCAGGCTGAGATGAGGTAGAATGAAGAAGAGGTACATCTCCATTACCTTACGTGTGCGTAAGAATTCTCCAGAACGCAAACATGAACGGTGAGCGTTGCTGCGGCGGTGGAAGACACCTTTTGTAGTGGACTGACTTCTGCTCTTAGGTGTTTAAATCTGTGTGTGTGCTGCCTGTTCACAATATGTAAAACTAACTGGGAGTTGAGGGCTGGGAGAGGCTGTGTGTTTGTGACAGGGCCAAGCCAAGTGGGGGACCCCGTGAGCCCGCGTGGAATCCACAGATGTGGGGTGTGGGGCATGGTGCTCGCCAAGGAAGGAGTTTTATTTTATTTTATTTTTTTCCGGTATCAGGAACCGAACTCATGACCTCGCGCTTGCCAGGCAGGCGCTGTGCTGCTGAGCTAAATCCCCAGCCCCTATTTTATTTTTTTTAAGGAGGTCTTTATTTATTGAAAGTAATTTGCACGTTTGCAGTGCACGGTGGTTGCATTCATCGAGGGAGTCCGTGCACCCACTTAACATATCTTCTTTCCTTTCGCTTCCCCCCTGTTGCCGTTTCTTGGCCCCTTTTGCATTTGCAAAAGTTCCATCTCACTGTTTCCTGTTATCTTTTATTTTGCTCTTTAATTTGTTCATGCTCTAGGTTTCTCATATAGGAGAAACCCTGAGATATTTAAGCTTGTGTGTCTGACTTACTTCACTTAACATTACAATCTCAAGGTGCACGCATTGTCTTTCAAGTGATTTGGTTGGTCCTTCTTTATGGCAGAGTAGTACTCCACTGTTAATCAGGAGTCATGCAGCTATAAACATGGGTGTGCATGGATCACTGTAAAGTGGTATCTTTAACTCTTTGGGAAGATTCTTAGAAGGGGACTAGCTGGTTTGAATGCAATTTCTAGTTCTAGTTTTTGGAGAACTAGAAGTTTTTTGAGGACTTCACCCTCCTGGGGTGAAGTCCCCCTGCCTACTTAGAGGTCTGTGCACCTCGCAGGCTGTGGTGCTCCCCCGGAGAGCATCAGGATGCTGTTGCTCCCTCGCAGCTTCCCACCAGTACTGTGCTGGGTTCCATGGCTGCCAAGGGTGCTGAGCACAGTGGCCCTGGCCCTGGCCACCCGATGGTGATGCCTTGGGAGCAGGCAGGGGCCGCTGGGTGTCACTGCGGGGGGCGTGAGGAGGAGAGCGCGTGCCCCGTGAGCTCAGACCAGACTTGGCTCTCTGGGAAGCACGCACAGGAAGCGCAGGGCCCCTCCGTCCCCTGGCAGCTGGCCTTTGGCTCGGGAGTGGTGGTGCTCAGAACGCCAGCATCTGCATCTGCAGAGGGTGTGTGCGCGCCCGGAGCCCCGGCATGCCCGAAAGTGCGGATCGTTGTGCTGACCCCCAAGTACCGTTCTGCGCACCTGTGGTGAGGGTTAGTGGAGAGTTAAGTGCAGTTAGAGTAACAATAACCGATCATAGAACAGCAAAACCATGAGAGTGTACCACTGTAAAGCTGTGTGAATATGGTCTCGCTCTCAAAAGACTTTATTGTACCATTGATTTTTTTCCTTTTGTTTTAAGACAGGGTCTCATTATGTAGCCCAAGCTGGCCTTGAACTTGGGGCAGTCCTCCTGCCTCAGCCTCCCAAGTGCTGGGATTACAGGTGTGCACCACCACACTTGGCTTGTACTGTTTTTTGTTTGTTTATTTGTTTTGGAGGGGGTGTTGTCTTTTTGAGACAGGGTCTCCTTGGGCAGTTCAGGCTGGCTTTGATTTCACTTTGTAGCCCAGGCTGGCCTCAAACTCACGGAGATTCTCCTGCCTCAGCCTCCTGAGTGCTGGGATTACAGGCACATGCCACCACGCCTGCCGTATACTGTTGATTTTGGCATTCTTAGCCTATCATTTTTTCATATTGTGAATTTTCACCTTTTCACCTAAAGGAAGCATTTCGGGCATTTCTTAGCACATAAGTTGCCAGGATCTCTGCTCTTGCGCTTTGGGGCCAGTACCATATTTCCTTGAAAATAAGGCCATACTGGAAAATAAGCCCTAACATGATTTTTCAGGATACTTGTAATATAAGCCCTACCCCAAATATAAGCCCCAATTAATATCGGCAGCCAGGCAGATGCGTTTAGTACGCCTGTTATAACACATGACAGACATACTGAATTATAAAATAATAATACTAATACATAATTAAATATAAATAATATTATTGACATTAATATTTAAAATAAATGAGAATATAAATTATAGCAAGTATTTGTAAAGACCCAAGCGGGTGCCTTTGTATGACTCAGCATGCATTGCGGAGTGACCTGTCAGGGCGCAGACACGATGCGTGAACAGCAGCACCCTGGTAGCCTGCCTGCCAGCCTGTGGTTGTACCTAATACGACTCTTCACAGGTCAGCACGTCATGTAATGGACGTACATAATGCACTCTCTTGAACTAAAGAAGCATTTTCTGAACTTTGGTGCCTACAATTTTTCGTTGCTCCTGCGTGGACTGTCATTCTTAGCTGTCATTTGCGTTGCCACCCCTGTCTCATAAGTCTTCAGTTAACCCTTCATTTAGGGGAAACTTTGCGAAGTCACCCCTGCAAAAGGTCGTGACTTGGGTGACACATTCACGTGGTAAAATCACTGACAGCTGTGTGGCCAGTGTGCTGTGAGTAGGGTACGTGGACAGGAAGCGCTCATTTAAGGAGTGCTCTGTTGCTGGACACAAGAGATTGGGGTCAACAGTTCTACAGGATATGGAGTCATAAGAAACTCAGGCCAGGCTAGGCATAGTGGCACATTCCTGTAATCTTAACACTTGGGAGGCTGAGACAGGAGAATCGCCGAACTTAGGCCAGCCTGAACTACATAGTGAGACCCTGTCTGAAAAAACAAAATAGAAAATTCAGGCCAGAATTCAGGTTCTAGAGAGCTGCGGCGATGTTCTAGAAGTAGAAGACACGACCGTGCAGTAAGCCCGTGACTTACGAGGGAGTTCCGCTTGGAGAACATCCAAAAGTGGGATTTGTCTGTGAGTCCGACGCAGTGAGCCTTATACACCTTTGACACAAATACAGTGTAAAGCATAAAAAACCGAGGACACACGCACACACTCTGAAAATAACTATTTGTACTGTTTAGTTCTCATAAAATGGTGGTACAGTGCCTACAGCAGCCGGCAGCCGGCACAGCGCAGAGCAGGTGGGCGAGAGGAGAGTTACTAACTGGGGGGCAGACATGGAGCCAAAGGGGCATCAGAGGAGGAGACGGAGGGCAAGGTGGGATTTGGCCTGACCTGGTGGTGGTGGAGCCTAAGGACCATCAGCTGCTTCCGAGATTTGTCGACTGTTTGCACCTACAAGTAATACCAGGTCTGTTCACATGTGCAGAAGGTCGCAACTTGAATGTTCCTAAGTCAGGGACTTACTGTATTGGAATAAATGTTGATTTTTGTACATGAATAAATGTTGATTGCTGTGCATGAAAAAAGAAGACATCCCCTGAAAATAAGCCCTAGTGCATCTTTAGGAACAAAAATTAATATGAGACCCGGTTCTATTCTTAAGGGAATGCAGTATTAAGTTAAAGAAGGGCAGCCCGAGCACAAGTGCTCTTGCTAACCCAGACAGCTGCCAGGTGACTGCTGGGCGGGTAGCAGATACTGTGTGGACACACTGGACAAAGGAGAGTGCACGTCCTGAGGGGGATGTGGGACAGCCAAGGGCACATCACACTACTCAGAGTGGTGTGCAGTCTAAAGCATTATTCCTGGAATTTTCCATTGGACATTTTTGGACGGGTTGACTACATGGAAACCACAGACGAGGGTGCTCTGCACCTGCTGGTCTGAAGGAGCTGGTCCAGAGCCTGTGCCAGGTCTGTGACTGCAGCGCCAGGTGACTCTGCCGAGAGCCCTCCTGACCGTACTCTGTGGCCTGTCCCAGCCCAGTCCCTTTTGCCTTTGCTTAGAACTGGCCCTGGGAGGCGCCCCATTGTTGCTGTCTTAACCAAGAGATCTGAGCGCTCTTCCTCAGCCAAATCCTCGGGTGACCCCACTGCCTCTACAGCAGCCCCCCGCCCCCCCAACCTAACTGTTCGGGCGCTCCACTCCTGTGCTGCTTCTCTCCTAAGAGCAGGGCCTGGGGTGCTCGCCTGGCCCCCAGTGACCGCCCCTTTTCCTTTGCACTCTCGCCTTCCCTGCCTCCTTCAGGGATCTCCTCTCCCTCACGTGCGTGTCCCCAGTCTTGGTGTCCTCCCCCCAGGTAGGAATTGAACCCAGGGCCTTTGCACTGAGCTACATCTCCAGCCTTTTATATTTTTTGAGACTTAAGTGTCTAAGTTGCCTGGGGTAGTCTCAACCTTTTAACCTTCCTGCCTCAGCCTCCCAGAGTGCTAGGATTACAGGCCTGTGCCAGCATGCCTGGTCATGTCCCCATTTGATAGGCTTTTTACTCTCTGAAATTGCCTTGGCAGACTTGTGTCTTCTCAGCGTGCGAGCAGAGCAGGGAGGTTAGTTCACACAAACCCTGCGCTGGCGTGTGTGGTGCTGGTTTGCCCTCTGCAGCGGACACGCATAGGTGTCTCTGCAGAGCGTGTTCGTGTCAGCCGCTCTTGGGCTCGAGCGCAGACCGTGCAGGTGTCCGCGTGGCCCTGCTGTCTGACTCCCAGGCTGGGACTCGGCCCTGCTCGATGCCTCCACCCAGCAGTGCGGTTCTCCTCGGGTGCCTGGCGGATGGTTTGGGAGCTGGGGACAGGCAGGGACAGCCCTGAGCTGGTGTTTGTGACGGTCACGTTGGGAAGGCTGCTGGGCCGCCGCCTCACTCTGCTCTTTCCTCCCGCAGGCCCCGCAGGCTCCCGGTGGCGGGATTACGGTGCTCTGGCCATCATCCTGGCAGGAATCGCATTCGGCTTCCACCAGCTCTACAAGGCAAGTTGTGCCCCTAGGCCCCGGGGTTGTGTCCTGCCCTCCCCTGGCCTTCGGTCCCTTCTCCTGGCCCAGGACTTACCTGGTGGGGCGGTGGGCTGCTGATGGCGAGCAGTAGGCACGGTCGCCCCCCTCTCGAGCCCACTCACACCAGCCGGGTCGGCTCCTCAGACTGGTGCCTGGCAGGCAGTGACAGTGCGTACCTCGTGAGCATGCAGTGACTCAGTGCTTGGGCACGTGGACCCTGGAGCCAGCCGGCTGGGCGGCCCCCAGCCCCGACCACGGGCTCAGTTCTCATCCGTAAACTGGGAATAGGACAGTTGGCTTTTACGGTGGCACAGAATCGTAGCTGCACAGCCTTGTTCTCTGCAGCCCAGTATTCCATAGGTGATGTGAGAGTGCTGTAAGAGAGGCGTTCAGCAGGGCTAAAATCCTAGCACCTGGGAGGCTGAAGCTGGAGGATTGTGAGTTCAGGGCCAGCCTGGGCTACTGGACGAGATGCTGCCTCAAGGAAACAGCAGAAGAGACAGTCTTTGTGTTAGTGGTTCAGCCCAGGTGCAGGCTAACGCAGGTGTTCCAGGTGCGTTGAGGCAGATGAGGCTGAGCTGTTGTGCTGAAGGGGAGGTGCTGACGTGGTCTGGTTTCCTGGGACGCAGCCGTGGCGCCTGCCTCCTGACCTCACCCGAGCATCAGGGGAGAGTGGCCAGCAGCAGGATGCGCCCGCCCCGCGGCTGCTGTTAGTGCTAAAGCCAGCTTAGAGAGCCCGTGCAGTCCTGGGTCTCCTGTCCTCCTGGGGTTGTGTTGGTGTCTTTATCGCGTTGGGTCCTCCTGGCTTCCTTGTCAGCCCCCGGAAGCCAGGCTCCACTCCCGGTCTGCAGGCTGCAGGCCCCAGTGAGTGCCCCATCCCTGGAGACCAGCGAAAGGCCTGGCTTCTCTTGGGAGACTGAGTCCTGTCTAGGAGGTGCATAGCCATGCTGGGCCCCAGACCCACGTCTGCTGGCCTTGGAGAGAAGCCCCTTGCTCTTCTGAGGCCTCTGGCTCCTCCACATTTGGTGACTTCCCCGCTAGTACTGGGAATTGAACCCTTGCTAGGCAAGTGCCCTTCCCTTGAGCTGTATTCCCAGCCTTTTCCTAGGTTTTATTTTGAGACGGTGTATGTTGCTGAGGGTGGACTCAAGATTCTCCTGCCTCAGCCTTCTGAATCACTGGATTTACAGTTGTACAACACTGTGCCTGGCTTTGGCTGCTTTTTTTAAAGGACCTAAATGAATTCCCAACCTTGCCATTAGAACTTTTAGCACACAAAGAGTGTTTAAACCTTGCACTCTCAGATTCTCAGTTTTTGACTTTGTATGAAAGCTGATGACAAGCTGGGTGTGGTGCTGTACACCTAATCCCACCTATAATCCCGGGAGGCTAAGACAGGAGGATTGCAAGTTTGAGCCCAGCCTGGGTAATTTAGAGACCCTATCTCAAAATTTTAAAAAGGGAGGGGGTGCTGGAGGTGTAGCTTACTGGTCCTGGGTTCAATCCCCTGTACAGGAGAGAAGGGGAAGAAAAAAAAAAAAAAAAGCTAATGGTGTAACATCTTATTGCTGGAGTTAGAAGTTTCCATGAGGAAGTCGTGAAACAGAATGTCCTGGGCCCTGTCCCTCTGAGCCAGTGTCTCTTTGAAATCATGGCCACGGCCAGCAGACAGTAGGACACGACATGGAATTCTCAGAAGAGGCCCCAGCTATGGCTGCACCCAGTGCCACACACCATCATGGGGCACCCATTGGAGCCCGAAACGTGGGTCTGAGTGACACACAGCTGTCACTGCCTGTTTCCATGGAGGTCTCCTGCTTCTGCTCCTAAAGAAAAGAGACACCTAAATGATCAATCATAAAAGTGGCCCAAGGGGCTGGGGATTTAGCTCAGCGGCACAGCGCTTGCCTGGCAAGCGCAGTGTTGTGAGTTCGATTCCCGGTACCAGAAAAAAACCAAAAAATTAAAAAAAATTTAAAAAACAATAAAAGTGGCCCCAGAACTTCTAGAACTTCTGTTAATAGTTTCTTTAAAAAGAGAGAGGGTGGTAAGAAGTTGCCATCTCGCTTTAGAGCTCTGTGCAGGTTCAGGCTGGGCTGTGAGTGTGCACCTTCCCTTGTCACTTCTGACCCAGAGGTGGGACCTGCAGCTGGTTCCATGTCAGGATTTCTTGACTTCCATCCTTAGGAAGTTTTCCACCTGAAACGTCGGGCTGCATTTGATGGGTTTCACCTCGGTTGTGGGTAATAACTCACGCAGTGGCTGAAAAGCACTTTGCAAAATAGAAAGCGCCTCTCTCCATAAGCTAAATGAGCACCCTCACTTAGGAGGCGCTCTTGAAATGACTTCTCCCACAAACCCCTGTGAGAGCCCTCTTCCTTCCCCTATACCAGCCCTTAATGGAGAAGTTTCCATCTTTTTCTTCCTAGCTGGGGCCCAAGTTCTGCCTCCCAATATCTGTGAGCCGCATCGCGCTCACCTAGCGCTGCCCGTTCCACGGCGGCCTCACTGCGCTCCACGGGGTCCCAAGCCGGCGGCCTCCAGCACTGCCCCCAGCTGTAGCTCTGCAGCTGCCACCTTGGCTTATGTATCCCCCTGGCCCGGTCCGGTCCGGTCCTGTCCTGTCCTGTCGGGCAGTTCCTTCTGCCCTGCTTTCCATTCCTGCGGAAGTGGCCACTGTGGACATTCCCAGGGTGCAGGTTTAATTTAGGACAGACCAAGGTGACCTCTTCAGCGGCCGGGAAAACCCTGTGTTGTCCCCTCGTGGAAGGCCCGAGGGTCCCGGGCGTCTGTTGTTGGTTTTCCTCTAGTTTCTCCAGGAGTTTGTTTATTTACTCAAAAGCATTTGTTTCTGAATGGGTGTGACAGTTGGTTCACGCATAAGGTCCAGAACATTAACAGATTCAGGGGCTCCCAAGGGCACCCGTTTCTTGTACCCACTTCCCCTTCTGCCTGACAGCTTCTAGAGTAGAATTCAAACTTGCTGTCATAGGAATGTCACTGCATCACTAAGACAAGGAACCCAGGAGTTCTCCACCCCAGCGGACAGACTTTTCCTCTGACTGGGGAGGAGCTCGGGTGGGATGTAAGCCCGGACTTGTGCTTCTGTCCAGCACCATACAGACAGACAGACAAACGGGTTTTCCTGGTCCCCGTTCCCTCCGGTCCTTGTCTTTATCCAGGCAGAATTTTCCCATCTGTGATCGCAGTCTTGTAACTTCTGGAGCATCTCGCTCACGTCGGGGTGTGTGTGGGTCCCACACCCGGGAGGAGCAAGGGGAAGCTGGGCGGTGGGACGGGGCAGACAGGCGCGGGTGGCCAGCGTGGCACCGCTCCTCAACCCCGCCCCTTGCAGAAGTACCTGCTGCCCCTCATCCTGGGTGGCCGCGAGGACAGGAAGCAGCTGGAGAGGATGGCGGCGAGTCTCTCCGAGCTGAGTGGCAGTGTGGCCCAGACAGGTAAAGATTAATGACTCCATCAAGTCACCCCTCAAAGCCTCTCCCTCAGCCCCTCACGGCCCCCGCCCCTCTCCCTCCGTCTCCACTTTATGTGGTGACTTCATTTATCTGCTCTGAGAATCTGTTCACATTTGCAAATGAAGCCGCCGTCATTTCGGTTTAATTTGAAATTGCTTGTTTACTGTCGGCGCGGCCTCAATTAATTATGTTTTTACGGAAAGGCTCCCAACCTCAGAATATTAATAAGGGGAATAAAATGACAGCCTTTCTAAGGGCTGTAAAGTTCATTTTTAATTTCTGCTTCTATGAGGTTTTCAGGGGGGTTTTCGGTGATTTTCCCCCTTCCCTCTAAGAATCCAGCGCAGGGTCAAGAGAGTCTGTAATTACTGTGGCTCCAGGGACCCCGGCCACCTCCTCTGTTATCGACTCCACAGGGCCGGCGTTCATTACCCGCTGCCCCAGCGATGGCCCAGATTAGCTGGGACCTTTTGCGCCAGAGGTGTCTTCTCTCCTTTCTAAACTTGTTTACTAGGTGAGGCTCTGAATCTAAAACCCCGAGGCAGGCGCGAGAACCGCTTGTCCCAGGCAAGAGTCCGTGTCCCTCAGGGGCACCTTTGTGGAGTCCCCAGGTGCACCTGTCCCGCTGACGCCAGCCCCTAAGATGATGGCATCACGGTGCAAGGCCCTAGCGACCCTGTGATGGGCAGGTGGGGTGGGCTGGATGGGCTCTCACTGCTCCTGCACGTGGCCCAGGCCCAAGCTGTGGCTGTGGGGATGGGAGGCCCCCCAGCTCCTGAGGACACAGGAGGAGTGATGGGGTGACAGGTGCCGGGAGCCCGCACCTCGCCGCCGGCGTAATTAGAGAGGAGAGACCGGACAGGTGCGCTGCTGACCGCGCGCACAGCAAGAGATGAAGTGCAAATACTTGGTTGGCCGCGGTGTGGGGTGCGGGCGGGGCCTGCATGGCGACTCCGTGCAGCGGCACACACCCGGGCTGAGGTGTGGCATGAGGAGGTGACTGTGGGCGCTGACCGGACACCACGCTCTCATCCCCAGTGACCCAGGTGCAGACGACGCTGGCCTCCGTGCAGGAGCTGCTGAGGCAGCAGCAGCAGAAAGTCCAGGAGCTGGCCCATGAGCTGGCCACCGCCAAGGTACCTGTCCCTGCACGCGGCCCCCAGCCCAGCCCGTCTCGCGCAGGCATCCCCGCGCACTGGGCGTGGCCTCTCACCTCGGAGGCCGTCCTTCCTGTCACTTCTGCCTGTGGACCTAACGGCAGCCATCGCCGTAGATGTGGGGCCTCTCCGCCTGCAAGTTAGGGTGCAGCGCCCAGCCCTGCAGGACGGAGTCCAGGGAACGGAGGGGAGGGGCAGTGCTGGTGGTTTACCAGCACCCCCACCGAGGCCCTACACACAGGCTTCCCAGGTTCAGCAGACCCATGAGGAACTGGAACCAACCAGGGTTGGCCGAGGCCATTCCTTGCCTCGGCACCGAAGTCTAGGCAGTCCTGGCAGGCTTGGGTTGCAGATCACGCTGCCTGGGTTAGAAGCCTGCGCTGTCCCACCTGCCGTGCGACCACAGGCGAGTTGCCTACCTTCTCCACGCCTTCCTTATCTGTGGAAGGGAGCTGTTGAGCTACCTGCCTCATCGGGCAGCTGACGTGCTTAGAGCAGGGCTTGGTGCAGCCAGCTCCCAGGAAAGCAGCCCAGGGTTCTGTGGGTTGGTGACAGCATCGTCCCTGAGCTGCTGGCTTGGACAGGTGGGGCCCAGGAGGTGGTGGCCTGGTGGCTGCATGACATCTTCTGAGGGTTTTACCCAAGCTGCTGTTAGGGGAAGCCACCCCCATTGTAGAGCTAGATTGCACAACATGAACACGGGCGTCTTCCACCTCCGGGGGCACTAGGTGCCCTTGTGAGAGGGTCCCGACGTGGCCCCTCCGCTGCACACCCCACACAGGTGCTGCCAGCTTCTTCCTCTGGCTGCTGGGGCCACGGGCTCCCCACAGGCAGGCGGGTGGGTGCGAAGCAGCCTCTCTCCGTTATCTTTCGGATCAGTGGCCTGCCAGTGGCCAGCAGCCATTCCGGAAATTGGAAAACTGTTTGCAGGCCTCGCGCATTAAGATTAAGACCACATGTTGCGCCGTGCGGAAGGCGGTCGGCCTCGCTGCCCTCTTCCCTGCTCCCCGTGCCGAGCTGGGTCCCGGCCTGGCATCCACCCACATGTGTGAGGGCTTCAGTTACCCATAAACCCGGGTCTCGGAGCTGTGTTTTCTCAGCTGTAATGTAAGCTTTTATATCTGGCTTCCCAACTCCTACTGGAGCACTGTAAAAAATTAAAAAGAAGAGCTTTAAGTAATTAAAAAACCTACATAAAACTGAAGGCTGTGAGTTTTCTACAACTGTTTTTTAAAGAGACTGGCTAAAAAGCCCCAGATGTCAGATTTTATTTCTAAATCCAGGCATCTGGCACCATATGCGTTTGGAAATCTGAGTCCTTTGTAGGCCGGTGAGTGGAAATTGCTCCCTTGTTAATGGGCTCCCGCAGCTTTCAAGGTCTCGGGGAAGCCAGAACAGTGGCTCCTGGGCCCTCACTGTCTGGTGGTCTGGCGTGGGGACCCCTCGGGGTTGAACGAGGGTGGCGGCATTTGCCCGCTCCTCCCTCCGCTGCGGCCCCTCTGCGGACTTCCGCCTGCCAGGCTGTCCCTGCCCTGGCCGCGTGCTACGGCCACCCACGGCGGCCTGCCATGTGTCAGCTGGCGGGAAGAGCCTGGGGTGTCCCCGCGGCACATCAGGCAGTGCGTGTCACCCGGCTGCCTGGGCATTTGAAGACAGCAGAGGTGTCTTCAGGGGGCACGGCTCTCACGCCAAGGCCACGCCCACAGAATTGGCCTCCGTACCCCTTCCTGGCCTCAGGGGTGCTGTGTCACTGCTTCCGTGTCCCGTCTGCCCCAGCGGGCTTTGCCCGAAGTGAGGAGCGTCGAGGAGACGCCACTGCGGTGTGCGTGGCGGGATGGTGTTCCCGGGCCTCTCCCCCGAGCCCCTCTGGCTGCTCAGCCCACTGCCCACCCCACAGAGGGGCTGGGGCCGGGCCGGCTTCCAGGTGGCTCTGCACACAGCCTGAGGGAGCCCGCAGTCTCGCAGTGCAGCACAGCACGTCGTGGGGCACGGCCTGGCCTCCCCATCTGGGGACCGGCTCGAGGCGGTGCACCTCTCAGCCCCCCACTGCTGCCTGTGCTGGCGATTTCTCTTGGAAGGGGGTGGGATCTCATTTTAGGGTGTGGCTGGCACAGCGACGGTGCCTGTCCCCCAGTCGTCACACCAGGTCCCACTGCAGCAGTGTCTCTCACACCTGTGACACCAGTGTTCCCTGAAAATGATTTCCTCATGTCACTGGGTGTCCGGCGTGGGTGAGCTTGTTTTAGGGGTGCGCACAAGCAGGCCCCGAGGGCAGGGGCAGAGCCTTAGCGTGGGGCGCCCCATCGGGGGCCTCCTGAGCTGTAGCCGCCCACACCGGCAGGGGAGGCGCTGCTCTGAGCCGCGCCCCTGTGCTCCCTCTTCCAGGCCACCTCGTCCACCAACTGGATCCTGGAGTCCCAGAACATCAGCGAGCTCAAGGCGGAGATTAACTCCCTGAAAGGGCTGCTTTTGAATCGGTAGGCGGCAAGGCCTGGGCTCTGGATGGCCTGCGGCGCGGGACCGGACACTGTCTCCCGGGTCCCCGCCGGGTGCCTGACCAAGTGGGGTGTTCAGGCATGGGGCTTGGGGACCCACGGGACTTGTGCTTTCCCTCCCCTCGAAGCTCTTTCCCACCACAGGGTGACGGTGTGCGCCACCCGCAAGGGTGTGGAGGCACACAGGTCCCCAGGCTATCAGGCCCAGCCGGGAAGAGTGAGGCGGGCAGGTGGCCCCTGAGCGAGGACCACGGCAGCTCACCCTGTTCTTCCTGAGCCCCAGCAACCTCAGAGACAGCTGTGCCCAGAGGCGTCCCCACCAGGGCCGCTAGGGAGAGTTGTGCGGTTGGATGGTCCCCGGCCTCGCCAGCTTCCTTGGTGTCTGCTGTCCCTCTGCAGGGACAGCACATTTTTAGCAGTGTAGCCACTACTGTAGGCTGCCACCATGTCCTGCTTAGTTCAGGACCATCCTAGATACGAAGCCAGAAGTCCAGTGTCCCCGGAGCCTCTCAGAAAGCGTGTCCCCCCACAGGATGTCCTGCTGGACATGGTGGCTGCTCGGGGTCCTCCCTGGCTCCACGGCAGCTGTGGGAGGCAGACAGCAGTGGAGGGGCCCACCTTTCAGGTACCCTGAGGAAAAGCACAAGTCTTCCGTGCCGTGGCCGAGCTCAGGGATGCCCCGGGCTTGCCGCTGGGGGACCTCCATTCCCCCGTTGTCCAGAATCTAGGTGACAACTCCCGTGTGGCAGGAGCCGAGGGGGAGGAACTGCAGGTGGGGTCTGTGTGTGTCACTGAGAGGTGACACGGGTGCAGGGGAGTGGCTTGGGGTAAGAGGGCTGCTTCCAAGTGCAGTGCTGGGGACACTGGCAGCGTAGGGACAGGGTGAGGGCTTTGTCCCCTTGGCAGGCAGAGGTGGCCTGCATGGCCAGGCTGACCTGACCCTCGACGCCCTTGGGGGGGGCACTGAGGTGGGTAGAGCGGGCCCTTCACCCCCCAGGTATCGGCTGCAGGGGCCGGCGAAGTACAGTGCGTCACCTTTGGGTTCTGACATCCCTCACCCCTTGGGCAGGGCCAGGTGCCAGGCTCCCTGCTGCCACCTTCTCCGGGCTATAGAGAAGTTGGCACCTGGCCGTGGTGTCCTGAGTCCCCTCCTGGCCCTGGGTACGAGTGGGGGCAGCACTGTGGGCAGGGCAGGGCAGGGCCATCCCGCCAGCTTCTTGGCTGCTGGAGCCACGGTCCCCAGGTGACCCGCCTCTGCACTTCTGTCTCCCTCCTCCCACCAGGAGGCAGTTCCCGCCGTCACCGTCGGCCCCCAAGATCCCCTCCTGGCAGATCCCTGTCAAGGCGCCGTCACCCTCCAGCCCCGCAGCCGCCAACCATCACAGCAGCAGTGACATCTCCCCGGTGAGCAACGAGTCCACGTCGCCGTCACCCGGGAAGGAGAGCCACAGCCCTGAGGGCTCCACGGCCGCCTACCACCTGCTGGGCCCGCAGGAGGAGGCCGAGGGTGCGGTGGACGTGAAGGGCCAGGTGCGCATGGAGGTGCAGGGCGAGGAGGAGAAGCGGGAGGACGAGGAGGACGAGGAGGACGACGTGGGCCGCGCGGACGAGGAGGACGTGCTGGGGGTGCAGCGGGAGGACCGCCGGGGCGGGGACGGGCAGATCAACGAGCAGGTGGAGAAGCTGCGGCGGCCCGAGGGCGCCAGCAACGAGAACGAGCTGGACTAGGGCCCCTTCAAGGGGCGCCGGCCGCGGGTGGCACTTGGCACCAGCCCCGCCCTCTGCCCACTCTGGGACAGCGGCTGGAGCTGCGCCATACGAGGTTGGTGTGTGCCCAGCAGCCTGTCACCTCGGCCTGGTGGCCCTGGCCCAGTCCCCAAGGCGGGCGGCACCCGGGCCTGGGCTCCAGCCCTGCCCACCCTCCCGGGCCACGCCCCATCCAGGGCATTTGCCAAGTGTCTTGACTAACGTGGCACTGTGCATGGCACGAGCTCGTGTTGTCACCGCCTCCTCCTCAGGGGGAGGAGCTGCAGTCCCTTGGTCTCTGCTGTCCCCTGGGCCTGGCCCTCGGCTCCTTCTTTGGCGTGTTTCCAACAGCCAGAGCCCTGGACTCACTGTCCAGCAGCAAGGGCCTGCCAAGCCCATCCCACGTGCCCTGCCACCCTCAGCCAGTGGCATCGCCCTGCGCTTGTGCCCTCCTTGCCCTGCTCCGCCCAGCCCATGGCGAGACGTGGTCCCCGCTACAGTGGAGCGGTAGCAGGGCCTCCTGACCCGGGCCGCGCCGGTCCTCCCGGAAGCACGCGTCCCCCTGCGTGACCACCTACAGGTTCTGGAACATGGGCGAGACTGTACATAACTGTAATAAAGACGAGTCGCCACTACCTAACTCCCGCCTGTGGCTCCTCTCTGCCTGTCACCCCGGGACCCCGCAGGAGGTGCCTGCCCCAGTGCCTCAGGGGACCGGGAGGCCGGGAGGGGACCCATAAAGCGAGGGTCAGGGCCGCGCTGCCCTCCTGCCGCGGGCCCCGTGCTGCTCGAGTGGTGTCTGCGGGGTGACATCCCTGGCCAGCCCCGGGAGGGACCTCCGTGACTGTATATAGACCTGCTGCTGTGAGCCGCGCGGGAGCTGGCGCTGCCTTCCTTAAATGGTGCACATTCCCCAGCGAGCCCGGAGCGAGCCGACTGGGGCTCCTGCTCGTCCTCTCCGGCTCGGCCCGCCCCTCCCCTGCAGCCTGCAGGCCGGGCACCGGGGCTGAGGCTCCTGCCTGGCTGTGCTCCTCAGGCCCTGTACGGGCCAGGCCTTGTGCCCGGGCACTGCCGGGGCCCCGTCCCCCTGTGGGCACGGAGTGAGGTGCAGACCTGCCCCTCGGCCGCCCAGCTAGCCATTGTACTGAGGCGGCCTGAAGCCACATCAGCCCGCTGCTGGGCTCAGTCTGTTCTGTCCCCATGCCACCTCCCCTGGGGGCCTGTGAGGCTGCGGGTCACCACGTTCTGCACGGTGAGCCCCCCTCTGGGTGTGGCCGGCAGCTCTGCCCTTCTTGCTCGTCACCTCTGTGACAGGGTCAGCTCTGTGCTCCCTAGGAAATGAGTCCAGGTGAGAGCGCCTGCTGACCTTTCCCTTTGTCCCGAGCCCCCTGAGTCCCTGGAAAGCCAGGGCTTCCTGGCTCCTAGGGGGCCAGCCCGGCCCAGCCCCGAGTGGGCCCGGCCTGCAGCTGGTGAGCCTGCTTCCCACCCTCCGGCTCGGGCAGCGACTCCGCGGGACGGGCGCCGGGGCCCGGAGCGGCACTGCCGGGGATGTTGATGGCCATTTATCATCCGCTGTAACTTCTGAGGTCCCTCCTGATGGCACCAGAGGGAGACCTGGACGGAAGCAAAGCCCCAGCCGCGCCAGTGCCTCCCGCGCCCCTGGCCCCTGCGGGAGCAGTCCGTGCAGGAGCTGTGCCCGGGCCGGCGCGACACACAAGCTCGGGGCGAGGGGCCCAGAGCCCGGGGCGCAGGCCTTTGCCCTCGGGTCCTGAGCACCAAGTTCAGCTTTTGAGGACAGAGAGGCTGGCGCGACTTCAGGGAGAGAAAAACCCCTCCCCAAAACGGCGTGAGCGCTGCCTAATAAAGGCAGCTGCTGGACGAGGGAAAACAGCCTTTGAAAAAAAGCCTTTCATTAGAAAAATAATGCATTTCATCCAAATAAGGTAAAAACATTCGGAATGGGGCAGAATGAGCAGCAGGCAGCGCCTGTCAGGCCCTTTCTGGAAGGGGGTGGATTATTAAACTCAATTACGATGGCTTTTTGTAAAGGGTCCTTTCGGAAAGGACCGGGCCTGTGCTCGAAGGCCACCGGCACCATCCTGACCCCTGCGGGCTCCGCGACCCCTTCAGGCCCCGTCCATCTGGGACACCAGGCCTCAAGTGGCATTCGTGCCGCCAGGGAAGAGGTGGCGGGGGCCTGAGCAGCCTTTTGTCCCAAGTCCCAGGGCCGCTCAGGTGGGACAGGGCACTCTGGGTCAGGGAAATGGGCTGCTGCGTTTGTACCCCAAAAAGTGCTTTTTAATTACAGAATTCCGTATCCGGTGTTCTGGGAAGGGAAACCTTACAGGAGGGGACAGTGAGTCTCCTCCGCCCCGCAGAAGCCATCTCCGGGCCCAGCACAGATGTTTGTCCGCAGGAGCTTGGCCTGTGGGGCGTGGGTGTCACTGCTTCTGTGGGTGCCACAGTGACCCAGAGTGTGGCAGTCAGGCTTGGTGGGGACCCTGGGGCTCCCCCATGGGAGGGTGAGGCGTCCCAGAGGCCGTGGCCGGGCTTGGCTGTCAGTGGCTCTTTCTACCCCTGCGCCAGCCGCACTTCCCGGGAGCTCACCTGGCTGTCCTGCCCCGCGGGGACAGCTAGGCGAGGCCCGGCCTCTGTTCATTGCCTGCAAGGCCGCCAGATCCTGGTGCTTTTTGTCTTCTTTCAGTACTGGTTTTGGACATGGAACCTTCGAACTGAGCTGCACCCCAGCCCTTTTTATTTTTTTATTTTGAGACAGGGTCTCACTAAGTCCCCAAGGTGCCCAAGCTGGGCTCAAACTTTCCATCCTCCTGCCTCGGCCTCCTAGTGCTGGAATCACACAGGCGTGCCACCATGCTCAGCGGATCCTGGTGCTGTTGACGACCCTGTGCTGGCCCTGCTTCTTACAGGCCTGACCTGGGCTTGGGCTGCCACGCTCTCTCCCCTTCCCTGTGGCCGCAGCCTGGGCCAAGGCTACCTGTGTGGCCAGGGCTGCCACTCACGACAGTGGGGTGGACAGTGTGTCATGTAGCTGTGTCCTCGGCAGGGAGCAAGTGCTGTGGGGAGGGCCAGGCAGCTGGGCTGAGCCTTGAGCCTGTGTCGCTGGTCCTGGCCCGTGCAGCTTACGGAACTCCTGAATTTGCTCCAGTTTAGGTGAGCAAGTATCTCACTGCTGCAGCTAATTAAGTCCCAGAATGAAAACACGTTTTACCACTTTCCTGCTGAGGACGCCTCCCGGTGAGCCGCCAGGGCCTGGGCTCCCTTCCGGCTCCAGGGTGGGGTGGGCGGGGCACCCTACAGCCACTTGGGCAGTGTCTGATCAGGGTATGTCCTCCTCGTGCCCTCTGGGGGACAGCAGGCAGCCTAGGCTCCTTGCAGGGAATCCCTGGGACTCGGGGCCCCTCCCTGGGCCCATCCTGTGAGGGGCCCAGCTGGGATGCTGGTCGTGGAGCCCCTCGTTCCCCCGGGGTCTGCTAAGGTCTGTCCAGACCCAGAAGACCTGGGGGACAGAGAAGACTGACGGTTTGGGGCTCTGGTCAGGGTCAGCAAGCTACCCCAAGTCCCCTGTCCTTCCTCTCCGGGGTCTCCAGCAGCTGAGGCCAGGCCCTGTCCCGATGCCTGCTGTCCCCTCCAGGCGCCCTGTGGCCGTCCCCGGCCGCACAGCGCTGGCTGCCACCCCCGGGCTCAGCTCGGCCTTGGCTCCAGGCCTCCTCCGGCCCCACGGGAGGTCGCGTGGCCCACCAGCGCCTGCGAGGCTCCAATAATGGCTTTAATTTGTTGAACTTGTGTTTTATCCCATAAATTAGTCACTGTTTTATTTAACAGAATCGAGATATCCACAAACAATAGGCGAGTTCCAACTTGAACATTTTAATAAGACTGAAAAACTGTATTTTCATGTCTGCTATGAACATATTTATGTAAATAGCCTGTGGCTGCCTTCCAGGAGGAAGCGGAAGGGATCAGCCCGGGAAGGGCCGGCCGCGCCGTGGGGCTCGGCGGTGGGAATGACACCAGGCCAGGGTGGAGGGGCAGAGCCGCCGCTTGTGTCCCCGGTGGTGCCCGAATATACTTGGTGCAGTGAGGGGGCAGATGTGTGGCAGGAGCCCATCTCATGGGCCCTGCACAAGCGGGTGTGACATTCCCGTTGGCAGGAGCGTGCCAAGCCGGCAAGACACTCCTCAGCATGGAGGACAGGGATGGGGACCGCACATCCCCTCCCCGAAGCCCTGGGCAGCTCTGTCCACCTGGAGCCAGCGGGGCAGGGGATGGGACAGGGCGGCCAGGGCCCTCTAAGACCTGCGAGCAGAGAAGACCCCACCTGGCGGAGCCCTGAGCCCCGGTGCCACCTGGCCCTGCAGCTTGGCCCGGAGGTGACAGGCCCAGCCCTGGGTGCCTCGCTCTGTCACCGTGTGTTCCAGGCAGCAGCCTCGCCAGCATCCGGACTGGATCCGGGTACGCAGCGTTCCTGGCCCGGGCAGGTCCCTGCAGGAAGGAGGAAGGGGCGAGGGACAGAGGGTGGCCCTGCCAAGCACCAGCCCTGTGGCCCCAGCTGGGACGGGACAGGAGCGGCCAGCCAGGGAGGGAGTCCAGGGGAGGCCTGGGGCAGTACTGCCACCTGGTCCTGCCGGCAGTGGCTCCAGTCAGGGCTAAGGGAGGAGGCCCCCCTTCCGGCCAGGCAGGGCCTGTACTCCGCTGTTGTCCCCGCTGTTGTCCCCAGCGGTGGGAAGACCTGGCCCGATGCCCGGGGGCAAAACTGGTCTGCCCCCCCCTCCTGCCAGGCTTGAAGCGGACCAGCTCCTCCCCGCCCCACTGGCGCATGAGGCCTGGCCGGGTTTGTGCCATCCCAGACAACTGGGTCGATGCCAGCTGCTTGGGGGTGATTTTAAAAATAAAAGATAACTTGATGGATTTTTTCCAGTTTTTATTGAGTGAAAATGTCAAACCTTGCATCAGTCATGCAAAAAAATCAAATAAATAAAACACATATATTAAATTTCTAATAGCACTAAATTCAAGTGGAAAAATATTCAGTTCTTAATAACCAGGTGCCGAGGAGACCAGATTCAAGTAATGAGAGCACACGCTGTTCAGTTCGGTTTCACGGTCTGCGCTTTCCTGTCTCAAAACCTCTCTATATATCTCTATATATCTATATATGTATATACATATAGATATATACACACATATGTGCATACATAGTATTTTATATTTATATATATACACATACATAGTTATAAAACATTAAAAAGAGCATTGGTGGATCAAGCATCGTTTTCCCCACAGAAAGAAAATAAAACAAAAATTACACATTAAAATTCGAAATGAGCTAGCGATGGCTTATAGTCCCTAGTGTGCAACATGAAGGTTACAAAGGCGACTTCGCACTGTCCGCATCTTCTTTTTTCTTTCCTTTTTTTTTGTTTTTGTTTTTTGTTTTTTTTTTTTTTCTTGGTTTGATTTTGCTACATTGAAAAAATTTTTTTTCCTTTATAAAACTTCCACAGACACAGGGTCCCGCGGGAGGGCGGAGCCTGGGCCAAGCTCCACAGCAGCACGGGCACTCACAGGACTCGAGGGGGGTGGTGGTAGGGGCATGGGAATCCACCCGCTTCCTGTCGA